AGAGCCGACGTCCGTGCCGTACTTATTCCGAGTATCGAGCGCGACGCCTAACCGATTTCTGTGTCGAAACGTTATGGGTTGGATACAAAAGGGATTAGGAGTGTTTCATGTGAGTAACTTGATTATTTTGTTTTGGCGTGGTGTAACGCGTGGTAAGAAGGTTGTGTCCTAGTCGACAACGACGAGTCGCGCTTAGGACATCAGCCCCCCACTGCGTCGGTTCACGTACGGGTCCAATAGAGGCGTGCGACCGCGGGTACTCCCTATGCTATAGCGTATGAGAAACGCCCTCGACTGGGCCACCTCTGTGATTGCAACTGTGTAGCTTTTGCACGTGGTTCGGTAGCTCGACAAGGATAAGTCCGTTCAAGGGTTGTGACAGCCCCTTGGGCGGAGGTGAGTTAGACCTCGCGTGACCCTATCCTGTCGTAGGGGTTTGCGAGAGGTATGGTTGGCGCACTCGGTCGGAGCAGCGACAAAGCTCCATTGCGCCGCAATAAAGAGTCTTGCACAAATCCTGTGTGATGCAGCCGTGAGGGTCCCCCTGCGAGGCCGATGCACTTGACAGCGTGACAGTCCCCAAAACCAAGCAGTTGTGTTGCGAAGATCTTCAAACAAAGCCCATTCTTCGCTGACACGACCCCATTGTATGAAAAATCCAAGCCCGTGCTACAGCGTATGAGAAACATCATCGACTGGGCCACCTCTGCGATTGCAACTCAGTAGCTCGATAGGGTTAAGCCCGTTCAAGGTTGGTGACAACCCCTTGGGCGGCGGTGAGCTGTACCTCGCGTGGCCCTATCCTGTCGTAGGGGTTCGCGAGAGGTATGGTTGGGGCACTCGGCCAGAGCGGCGACAAAGCTCCATTGCGTCGCTATAACAGGTCGTGCACGAATCCTGCATGACGTGGTCAGGAGGGTCCCCCTGAGGGGACCGATGCACTCAACAGCGTGACAGTCCCAATAGCCAAGCAATTGTGTTGCAAAGATCTTCAAACAAAGCCCGTTCTTCGCTGACACGACCCCATTGCATGAAAAATCCAAGCCCAGACTGGATTGCCAAGTTGTGCCTAAAATTCCATCTGTTAGCCAATGCCACCTCAACCTTTCCCAAGCCTATCTCTATAAATCTCAGCTCCAGTTCTGCCGGCAAACATGTCAATAGGAATGTATGCCTTGCCTAACATCTCAATAGGAATGTATGCCTTGCCTAACATCCCAAGGCTACATGCAAAACTCCAATCTCGGGTGACAAACACTTGACTTTTCTACATTGCTTTCCTCTTTTCCGTACCCGTTGCAAGGAGCGCACACACCCCTGAACACTCGCAACCATTGCACCTGCATCACCCTCATCTCATTTTCACCCGTCTTTTTGTCCTATGAGCACCCGTTTGACCGCCCCCCGAATTCCGACAAACGGGCCCCATACCTACACCACCTCTGCCAACAGCCAGTCCGTCCTCCCTCCCCCCTGTTTCCACGGCTGCTGATCTCTTTGGACACCCCCTTGAAACAGTCCTCCCAGCAACTTCCCTATCTGCACACATCCGTAAGATACCCACAGAGAGTACTGCCTTAACAGTATGTTCAATCTCTTTAGTCCAGCCTCACCAACAAGCGTTGGAGACCACCTCTAACAGCCATGATGATATCCCCAGTCACATGCTGTTTGATTCTATAACTCCACCCTCCAGAAACAAAGCAACTGAGAATGTGAAAATTGAAGGAACATGGTGAGATTGATGGATTCAAAGGATTCACCTTCCTAAGCCTGTCACTGTTGTTGTATGCTATGTTGTATGCCTGTGTGATGCTGTTGGAGTTTGAACCCGAGACCTGGTGTCCACTTACCTGTGCCGTTACCTGTTGCTATATCCTGTTGTAAGTGTTGACTGTGCTTATGGAGATTTGGACCTAAGAGCTGCTCTTCTGTGTATGTAAAGTCAATGCTTAGTACCGTTCATGCAGTAAGTGCGCCTCCAGGAACTATCCAGAGGCTTCCACGGCAACTGGGGAAGTGCCCCCTGGAAAACAAAAGTGCAGAAGGAATAATTCTGTGTGGTGCTGTTTCGTGAAAACAAGTTGTGCCCTGTGTGGTGAAGAAGATAGCCATAGCTGGAGTAGTAGGGCAACCGAGTTGCCATCTGGTAGCTGTGTTTTCTGTTCCTTGTGGAGTGGGATCGCGCTGTTGTGTCCGGCTGTTGTAGGAGAGAGCTTTTGCTTGGTGGAGAGTGAGCCATCATCACTACGATGTCCAGGGAGAAATCATCGGAGAGAGCAAGAGGAGAGGAAACATGCTTGTATAGTAGAGTCTGCACGAGCTGAAGACTGCCTTGAACTCTGATATCCACCCTTATAGCAGTGAGTGACAGGGCTGCGTTGTGGGAAGTTCCATTGAAGTCTCACCTTGAACCTGCATGGACAACTTGTCGTGCCTGGTTTCCTTGAATCTGCAAGTGAACGAGACTGTGGGGACCGACCCACCATAGCTGCCTCATCTACGATTTTGTGTGTGTGTGGTATTTGGCGATTGTAACGATCAAGTTTCATTGAACTGTGTGGCGATTTTGAGGAAGCAGGCAAACTTGACTTCATGTGTTTGCTGTGATTGCCATACCTGCACGCTCATATGGAATGGATGATGCATGAGTGAGGGTATTCTCACAGGATTCTCAAAACGAATCAAAAGAAGATGCCTGGCGCCCAAATTTATAACCGGGCAAGCACTGCTTTGACCAACTCTCTTACTGGAGTGAGCCATGCACTCGTTTGAAGCTCATTCATCCATATACAAGTTCAGTTTCTAACCTTTCGACGCCACTACACATTGCACGCTTTCCAACCAAGACAACCTCACCATTCACTTCATAGGCAAGGAGTGTTCACTCAATAGAGCAGGCCGGTGTCCATGTGCAAGGAAGATGAGCAATAGCGAACTTCAACAATCAAACAGCAGCATACATACGAGTCCAGATAGTCTTGACCTCGAACCAACAATAGCATTGCATCACGAGAATCACCAAATAAGAACACACCAAGAGTTCATAATTG